TCTAATAAGGTACTGAGGATTTAATTATAATGACTGATCCTGAAAAGAACTGTTTCGACACAGGCATGAGAATGTATTTAGCAACATCTTATAACAGTCTACCTAAACTTTCCTGATCCTAAAGGAGAGATTCAGACCTAGATATGAATGTCTAAGGAATGGGGCTGGGAATCTGAAGTTTTAACAAGAACTCTTAAAATTCTTGAGATTATGCAAGTCTAGGAAATGCTTTATCTGGTAAATTCACCTCTGGGAAGTGTAAGGGAGTTGGGGTGGGAGGGGTTGAGCACCTAGGGGAAAGGGAAAGAAATTGTGAGATTTTCTCACATAGGATATCTGACATTGTCACTGATTTAGCATTTTCAGGTCTGTGTGTGTGTGTGTGTGTGTGTGTATGTAAGGTGTGGAGTGGGACAGCTAACCATCTGTGGATGCTGTATTTGCAATTCATTCAGTGTAACTAGTATGTAGGTTGTGTCCACTATGTGTAAGATACATGCTTAACCAACTGAGCCACCCGGGCGCCCCTATATACCATTTAAAAAATTTTTTTTGAACCAAATGAATTTACTACCCTTTTTAACAAACGAAAACAAAATATAACATATACAGGCTATACCAGATAAGACTGTGGACTAAATTTGGCCCATGAATTGCCATTTGGAAACTCCATATTAAACAAATCCCTAAACTTAAATCACTGAAGTCTAAATCATTGACTCATTCATTCAGCAAACATTTATTGAATGCCTCCTAAAGTCCAGTCTTCATGTTCAGGGGCCAGAGCCCTATTTCTAACCTCAAGAGTTATGTAGTGTCCTCCCCATCCCTGGTCAGCTTCTTTGGTGTGATAAAGCAGGACAAAACGTGTCTGTTCCCACTCTACTTCTGATATTATTACTCTAGCTATAACTCAAATGCCTACCATGGCTGGACATGAAGTGCAACGAGTGAAACTAACTGGTTTATAATGATAGAAAAAGATCTCCGAGTGTAATTTCTGTGAAAAAGGCATGATAAAAAGCAGTGCGTATAATTCTACCTATGTGTATAAAAGGGAATAATAAGACTATCTGCACATATTTTCTTATAATTTGTCTAAAGAGACTCTAGAAGCATACACAAAAAACTAATAAAAGAGATTACCTTGAGAGAAGTTGGGGTTACGTGGTTAGATGAGACACAGAGGTGGGACTGAGTTTTCACTATATACCATTTTTAAAGAGGTTTTATTTATTTGAGAGAGAGCGCATGAATAGGGGGAGGGGCAGAGGGAGAGGGAGAAGCAGACTCCCTGTTGAGCAAGGAGTCCAACATGGGGCTCATTCCCAGGACCCTGAGATTATGACCTAAGTCAAAGGCAGACACTTAACCGACTGAGCCACCCAGGCACCCCACACTATATACCATTTTTATTTTTTATTTTTTTAAAACATTTTATTTATTTATTTGAAAGAGAGAGAGAGAGCACAAATGGGGAGTGGCAGAGGGCAATGGAGAAGCAGGTTCCCCGCAGAGCAGAGAGCCTGATGTGGGCCTCGATCCAAGGACCTAGGATCATGACCTGAGCCGAAGGCAGATGCTTAACCAACTGAGCCACCCGGGTGCCCCTATATACCATTTAAAAAAAAATGTGAACCAAATGAATTTACTACCCTTTTTAAAAGAAAACAAAATATAACATATACAGGCTATACCAGATAAGACTGTGGACTAAATCTGGCCCATGAATTGCCATTTGGAAACTCCATATTAAACAAATCCCTAAACTTAAATCACTGAAGTCTAAATCATTGACTCATTCATTCAGCAAACATTTATTGAATGCCTCCTAAAGTCCAATCTTCATGTTCAGGGGCCAGAGCCCTATCTCTAACCTCAAGGAACCTTCTATCTCTAGACTCTAGTGGCCCCTCTTGGTGAATATTTAAAAAGAAACATCTTTGTTTTGTTTTGACAACTTAAACTAATTAATAAATGTTTCCAAGTTGAATCTCCAATAAATAGGTAAGACTTGCTTGCAGACTAGCAATTACATGTTCATATACCCACAGTTAATGTTTAAGACCATAAAAGTATTTTGATCTTAACTATTTTGAAATAAATTCTCTTAGCCTTTTTTATTCTGTTAATTTACTAGGCAAATATCTCAAGATAAACTTAAAGTCAAGCCAAGTAAATTATTTCAAATTCTAGATAAAATGAATATGTATTAATGAAACTTAAATCTATTTGCAAATACAATTTCTGGGAGCAAACTGTTTCAGTGAGAGACAAGAAATATGAATAAGGAAACAAGGGGGAACCAGGAGTAAAATAGAAGTGCAATCTATCTTCCTTTGTAGAAAAAATAATAGATGTGACTCCTTGAATCTGTTAATCTAATCTTGATGCTAATAATCTCATCTCTTCTGGAGGTGTGTTTTGGCTTTTTTCCCCACCTCACCCTCCCCACCCCTATAAACTCTTGGAAATGTGCAGTTTATGTAGAAAAGCAACATGTTTGCCTTCTGGTAAAATGGAGTCTTACGTTCCCCAAGCTCTTGTAAAAAGGCAATAAAAGTTTAGATTGGCTCAAATGTAGAAATCTATTTCCCATCACGACAGTGGAAGACATTTCAGGTTCCTGGATTCCTAAAGATTCTGCTGCCTGAAAGTCCTATTCAGAAGCTTACTTTGTTATGACTGTTAGGCAGACAGAAGAGTTACTCATGACAAATATTACTGGCTTTGAACTGACATTAATGTCTTTAGAAAGCCTAACTATCTGTATGGAGCAATGTTTCTGATCACAGTGTTACCTTGAGATCCTCAGAGGTTAAATGACTTTATTTGAGAAGAAAAAGATTCATTAACATTTTGTCATGTAAATAATTTGAATAAATTATTTCTTCTGGGTGATAAAACAAGAAAGCCATCACAATATGTGGTTTAATAAAATTTATTGTAGTTTGAGAATTAATACCATACCAGATTTTTGTACCCCAAGATTTAGTGGCTTAAAAGAGCAAATCATTGCAATCACTCATGGTTCTATAGGTTGACTGGGCTCAATTGAGCTTGGGGTTCTTGCTTGGGGCCTCTCATATGGTTGCAGTGAGATGGTGGCTGAGGCTAGAATAATCTGAAGGCTTGACTGGGCTGGACATCTAAGATGGCTCCTTGACTCACATATTTTGTGTCTCAGTTAGAATGGCTGAAAGAGTTAGAAGCTGGTATTTATCTTTCTCTTTTCACATGGCTAGTTTGAAATTCCTCACAGCATTACAGTCTTAGGGTTAGAGTTCTTACATGGGGGCTGTTTCCCCCAAAGTAAGGGTTTAAGAGACCCTGGCAGGAGCCAGTATATGTGAAGTGGGAGCTGCTGACTCTTATCTTGCTGTCAGGAGGGGAGAACTTGAAGGTACCAGATACCATCTAGAGTCTGAGCAAGAGAGCAACAGAATAGGGGTAGCTGGTAGGGGATAGACTCAAAGATGGGAAAAAACAAGCTATAGGACATTATGGAGCCTAGAATCCATCCCTGCTCTGAGGAGCTCTGCTTCTAGAGATCTTAAGTCAGTTTGGTTTGGGATTTTTTTTTTTTTTTTTGGTTCATTACAATGGATGCAGTTCCCAAATGATACAATGAAATAATGAATTCTCCTCCAATTTATTTCTATGTTAAATATAATCAAAATACTACTTGATTTTTAAGACTGCTGCTTTTTTTGAGGCTGCTTTGTTTATTCCTAAATAATTTATGATTTATCTGAAGAGAAATGTGGTTAATATTTTTAACCAAGAGTAAATTATTTAATTTTCTTTTTTTTTTTTAAGATTTTATTTATTTATTTGACAGAGAGAGAGAGACAGCGAGAGAGGGAACACAAGCAGGGCGAGTGGGAGAGGGAGAAGCCGGCTTCCCACAGAGCTGGGAGCCCAATGCGGGGCTCGATCCCAGGACCCTGGGATCATGACCTGAACCGAAGGCAGCCACTTAACCAACTGAGCCACCCAGGTGCCCCAAATTATTTAATTTTCTTAAAACATTTAGAACGATTGCATAGCACACAGAAAGTGCCCAAAAATGTTAAATGTTACTTATATATTGTTATTTTTGCTTACATTAAAGGGCTAAACCTTTGCCTTATCTGGCCTTAAATATACATGTAGTTATCATAGTAAAAATTAGAGTGGTCATGTGGCAAAGTGGCTAAGAATGTGTTTTATAATCTGTTAGGTCTGGGTTCAAATTCCAGCCCTGCTCCTCACTTGCTGTGTAACCTGCAAGTTACTTAACCTCTCTGAGCTTCATTTTATCCTCCTAAAAATCAGACTAAAAGTAGCTTGTAGGAATAAAATTAAATAATGCTTGCAAAGGCCCAGATTCAATGCCTAACACAAGATAGGTATTCCATCAAGTGTGATTATATTATTTTATGCTGTGTGGCAATTCAATTAGCCCATAAAATACTGGCCAAATAAATCAAGAATCCATGTAAATGACAATGTATTTTGTATCAATGTATGTATTCCTATCCAAAAATTAAAATTAAGAAAACAAAATTGCTCTAAAAATTTATGAAATATGTTTATTATAGAAGACATGATTACTTGTATATTTACTTGTATGTATACTTTTTCTAAGGTCCAAGGTTAAAACACTAACTCAAAATGTATTATGACATCCTTTAGTTAGCAGATCATATTTGTTCAAAGTCAACTATGTTCTTCTAAAATTACAAACCAACAAATTGCCCAATGCTGAGCAGTAAGTTAAAAGAGATACCTATTTGTTAGAGGATCAGTGTCATAAAATTAACCTCAAAGTCAATAAAGGGCATCAAATTGATATTATTTAAAATAAAGTAAAGGAACTGAGAAATAGTGTTATATGAATCCATTTAAATATAGTAGATTTTAAAGAATAAGCCAATGCTAATGTTTTAATTATTATACTGAGGTCCTTTTGGTTGCAAGAGAGAAAATCCAACTAAAATAATTTTCTTATTTAACAGGTCCAGAGGTAGGGTGGCTGGTGGCTTCATGCTATAGCTTTTTATCTTTCATCCAGCTCCCTCCCTGGTCAAAAGATGGCCGCAGCAGTTCTAGCTATCATGATCTCACACCAATGTCCAGAGGTAAGAAAAGATGACCTCTTTCTTGAGTTTCTGTAGAAAAGCTAAGAAACCTTTTCAGAAGCCACATCCCCACTGTTCCATCCTACTCAGACTTCTCTTCAAGTTTTGTTGGCCATAATAGGGTCATAATGGAAGTGAAAGTACCATGATAGGTGTGGATGACATAAATATCACTTCTGGGGGGTGGGGCTAGAGCACTTGGCCAATTGGATGAACACAGGTAATCGTCAGGATGGAAAAAGAGGGGAATGGGTGTTGAGAAGACAAAGACCCTATTACATTGACAAGCACCATTCCAAAAAATTGGAAAAAAAGAATTCAACTGATGAAAGCATGTTATTAAATACTATGCAGTGGTTAGAGGGAATATGTGTACAACAATATATGTAGATCATAAAAGCATAGTATTCAGTGAAAACAGTGGGAAAGAGAACAAAATCTATCGTACAAAATATAGTGCTTCAAAATACATGAACACTGAAACTTTCACATATTAATGTCAGGGGCATAAACTGGTGCAGCCACTTGGGAAAACTGTCAGGCAGGATCTTCTAATGGTAAACAAAAGCATGCCCTACTTTCCAGTAAATTGGTCTTCTAGCTGTATACATGTGCGTGTCTATGTGCACCAGATATGTCTGGAAATATTCAGAGCAGCACCATTCATAGCAGTCACAAACTGGAAACCAGCTATCCAAGTGTCCATGAACCAGAGAATGGATAAATCCATGGTGGTGTAATTCCACACTGGAATACTGTAATGGAATACAGTATTCATTGGAGTACTATACAGTGATGAGAGTGGATGAACTACCATTACATACTGCAACTAGTGAAGTGAGTCAGTATGATTCCACTTATATATATTTCAAAAATAGGTAAAATTAATCTATAACAATAGGAGTCAAGATAGTAATTACCTGTTCGGAGAGGGTCATAGCTATTGGGAGGGAACTCCTGGTGGGCTGATAATATTTTATTTCTTTACGTGTGTGGTGGTCTCATGGATTTATTTGTGAAAATTCACTGAGCTGTACAGTTAGGATGGGCATTTTTCTATATGTATGCTATACTTAAAATTTTTTCCTTAAAAAATCATGCACATACAAAATAACACTCATTTGGGGCACCTGGGTGGCACAGTTGGTTGAATGTCTGGCTCTTGTTCTTGGCTCAGGTCGTGATCTCAGGGTCATGGGATTGAGCCCCATGTCGGGCTCTGCACTTAGTACCAAATCTCAAGATTCTCTCTCCCTCTGCACCTCCTCCCACCAAGCATGCACTCTCTCTCTCCCTCTCAAATAAATAAGTAAGTCTTAAAAAAAAAAAAGGAAAAAGATCTCAAAATAGCATTCGTTTAATTAATATTCAGTGACTTTTGCTAGGCAGTGTCTGGGCACTGAGAATACAAAGAGAACTCAGTCTCTGCCTTCATGGAGTTTAATCCTAATAAGAAAAATAAATGTAATAATGACAACAGCAGATAACACTTAAATAGTATAGATTATTTGCTGGATAAAATTGTGACAGTTTGAGGTAGATACTGTCATCACCCCCATTTCAGAGGTGAGGAAACTGAGGCACAAAGCTACCTGCTGAAGATCACAGAGTGAGTGGTAGAGTGAAAATGCAAGCCTAATAACTCAAACTCTGGAGTCTGTCTTTTAACCAGGATGCCATATTGCCTCTCATTCTAGTGAGGGGAGATAGACAAAAAACAAAGGTAGATATGAAAAAGAATCGCAGGTGGCAAATACTGCAACTGAGAAAAACCATGGTATAGTGCAGAAAGTGACAAGGGGATTGCTGTTTTAAAAAGGATGATTAGGGAGGGTTTTTAAAAAATAAAGTGACATTTGAAAACAGACATGAAGAAAGTGAGTGAACCATTGGATAGCTGAGCAGTAAGTGTTTCAGGCAAAAGAAACAGCAAGGCCCTGAGGTGTGCTTAGTAAGTTCAAGAAATAGTCAGGAGGCCATGATGGCTAAAGTAGAATGAGATGGACGGAAGTGGGAAGGGATGATCTGATGGGCACCAGATCATGCATGGCCTTGTAGGCCAGCCCTTGTTCCTTATAAGGATATATACATGTCCAGTGACAGGTATAGTACGCTTATTAGAGTGAATGCTCACCATAGGGAATCGGTGAGAGGATCTTGAATAAAAGAGTTAGTACCAACCTATTAGGCTAGACTGTCATTAGTATTATTAACTCAGTTTTATTTTTTTATTTTTATTTTTTAGAACTTCTTTCTTTTTTACACAGTGTTATATTAGTTTCAGGTATACAATATAATGATACAACAATTCCATACATCATCTGATGCTCATCACAACACCCCCTATTTCTCCTGTCCCCCCCATCCACCTCCCCTCTGGTAAACCATTGGTTTGTTCTCTATAATTAAGAGTCTGTTTCCTGATTTCTTTCTCACCCTCTCTCTCTCCCTTTGCTCATTTGTTTTGTTTCTTAAATTTCACATATGAGTAAAATCATATGGTATTTGCTTTCTCTGACTTATTTCACTTAGCATTATACTCTCCAGCTCCATCCATGTCATTGCAAATGGCAAGATTTCATTCTTTTTTATGACTGAATAATGTTCATTGTATATATATATACCACATCTTTATCCACTGACTAATCAATGGACACTTAGGCTACTTTCATAATTTGGCTACTATAAATACTGCTGCTATAAACAAGGGGTGCATGTATCCCTTTGAATTAGTAACTTTGTATTCTTTGGATAAATACCCTGTAGTGTCATTGCTTGATTGTAGGGTAGTTCTATTTTTAACTTTTAGAGGAACCTCCATACTATATATCTGAATTGTGGGGTAGAGGTGGAAACAACTATGGCATAGTCTTTAACCAAAGAAGACTCTATACTCCCATCTCCATACCACCATAAATTATCCAAAAATTAAAATGATTGCATCAAATTTCCATTTCACAGAAGAAAGGTATGCCCTATGTGTGTTAGGACTTCTTTATTACTCACATGGGTGGCAGTATCTACAATGGATGGCACTGCCTCTGGCCTGCAGTGTGGCAAGAATCCTCTTTTCATTTTAACAAAGAATCTTACCAAAATAGTGACAAGACATACTTCTTAAAAAAATTAAAATCAGTCCTTTAAAAAGTATATAACTTATGGTTTGGTTTTTTTCTGGGAATGTCAGGCAGGTTGACAAACTACATGCATTGATGTTTAAAACATAGTGATTTCTTCAAAACATCCTGCATGGATACCAATATACCCCAAGAAGCATCAAACCTTATTATTTGTATTTAAAATTAGTTTAGTTTTTGCCAGAGAAAATGTATGCACTTTATTGGTAGTATGAGATCTTGCTTTAGGTTAGAAAGCTTTTGATTTTATTCAGGGCTTATTATTGCAAATTCTGTCTCCTTCTTTAGTTTTGGGTTTTCAAAATCCAGAAAAGTATCTTCTAAAGAAGGACAATTGTCCTGTAACACTTCAGATGAAATAGTATTTAAAAGCATTGCATTTTAGTAGTTCAGAAATTATGCTTTAGACTTCATCAAGAACTTTCAAAGAAAAAAGAAGAGTAGAAAGAGAACCATCTTCTATGATTTGACTCTCAAATGAACTTCTAGGTTTCAAGCCTCTATTAAGATGGAAATGTAAAAAGATAGGCACTCAGTATATTAATTTATAATGCATTCGTTAGTCTGTTCACTATTTATTGAATGTCTCGTGAATGTCAAACCCTGTGCTAAGTACCTGAGATATATTGATGAGGGAAAAGAGACACAGTCCTGGCTTCACAGTGCTACAGGCTAACAGGGCAAAGGACATCACTAATTACACAAGCATATAAAACTCTAAGCGTGACAAGCACTGTGGAGAAGAGGCTCATGATATAGTGAGAGCCTGTAAGGAAGACTTTAGACTATTGATGTTGATTAGAGAAAGCTGTTCTGGAAACATGATAATTACATTCTGACCTGAAGAAAGAAGGTAGGAATTAACTTGTTGAAGGAACAAGGTACAAAACAGAGGGAAAAGCCAAGTAATTAGAGGGAATGTAGAACTGAAAGAAAGTCAAGAGGGCTAGAATTCTCAGAGAAAGGAGTGTAGATGAAAGTTATACTCATTTATTCATGTAATCCAAATTTATTATGTGCTTACTGTGTGCCAAATCTTGTTGTAGGTGTTGAAAACATTAGTGTTGACTTTGTCACAAAAGTAAAGACAGGACATTAAAAAGTTTGAACCATGCAGGGCTGAGGGTGGGATGTTGATATGATCATATTTGTGTTTTGCCGAGATAACTAGCTCCAATATGGAGAATGGGTGAGAAGAGGCCAGAGTGGATTGTGTGGATCAGTGAAGGGGCTGTTACAGTAGTCTAGCTGGGAGACAATAACAGCTTGGATGAGGAGAGTGATGCTGGAGATGCCTAAAAATGGGTGGCTTCAAGAGATAACTTAGGAAGCAAAATAGGACATTGTATGTAGTAGGTTGAGGGGCAGGGAAGAAAAGGTCAAGGATGTGTCTGAGGATTCTAGCTTGCACAGCTGGATGGGTTAGCTAAAATAATAACAGTGATAATATCATCAGCCACTTTGACCTGAGTTTTGGAGTGGTGAGGGACTGTGGGTGAGAATTACTGAGGTATAGTCTTTAATCAGAGTAGAGTCCTTCCTCCAAATCATTGTAAATAACCAAAAATGATTATCTCAAATCTCTACTTTTTTGGTGTTGTTTTTGTTTTTTTTTTTTTTTGGACAGAGTAGACATGTTCTACGTATGTTAGAACTTCACTGGTTCTGATGCTCCATGTGAACAGTGAAGCCTTTCAAGAACTATACTACTTTGGCCATGCATGTTGCCAAGAGCCTCTTTTTTGCTTTAGACACAGCATCTTCTGAAAGGAGCAGTAAGACCGCGTTCCCTAAGGGCAAAGTGAGAATGTGATAGAGGAGGTAGATCAAGGAGGGGAGGACACACCCCAGATTCTCAGTTGG